TACAGGATGGGAGAAGAGAAGGGGACCTGCTGGAGGGACATCCTCCCCATGGAGCTGGACACAAATGGCAGTTAAGTTTAGCACCCACAGCACGTATGACCCTCCCTGTGCTTTACAGGCATTAGCTAATTAGTGCTTTTATGCAAGCCTGGCTGCTGGGGACGGGCAGGGTGCAGCATAGAGAGGACAGGGAACACACAGGGAGAAGGGGAGCACTGCCTGCAGACACCTCCCTTTCCTCCCTCCTCTCCCCTAATGGGGTTGCTGGGAAGAGCCTGTTCTTCCACCTCACCTTCCCGCGCCCCCCAGGCTGGGGGATTAGCAGCACTAATCCTTCCAGCAGCTCTCCAGGAGGGCACTGCCACAGCTCTGGGCTGCAAGCAAGGGCAGCAAACCCTTGGCACTGGGCTTGGAGGGGTCTCCAGAGGGACCCAAGACCCTCCTGCCCACCCAGGAGAGGAACAGTCCCTCTGTGGGATACAGGCTACCTTTAGGGGTGCTGAGCCCGGCCCCTCGCTGGTGTGGGGGCTCTTGCTCTGCAGGCTCCAGAGGAAGTGGCGGATGTAAAGGAGGTGCCGGTAGATGTTGTCATCCAACGTCTCCACCTCCAGGTCCACTTTGAAGCCCCCACTGGGCAGGATGATGGGTGGGTGGTTGTCAAAGGACTCCAGCATCTCATCTAAAAGGCAGAGGAAGGAAGGCTAGCACTGGCCCAGGCTGCACTCTGCTCCTGCCTCCCAGCTCTCGGCCGTTTGCAGTCTCCCAGCTGGGGTCAGGGACATGGTGAGCTGCAAGCCAGCAGCATCCCTCACTCAGGACTGCAGGAAAAGCCTCATGCCCACCTGAGTGCCCTTTGCATCCTCTGCAATATCTGAATCATGGGCCTGTGCTTATTCCCAGTTGCTGCAGTTACTACAGGAGACCCAGGGAGGGGAAGGGATTCGCCTGTTTGGTTTGTACATAAAAACCTTGGAGGGAGCTTGTGGGTGACCGGAGCACGATGACCAGAGCAGCACTGAGAGCAAAGCCAGGGGCTCACCGGGCTGGAAGGTGTCTGGGCTCTCCTCCTCGCTGGGCTGCCATGCTGCGATGCAGCCCATGTCCATCACCGCCTGGCACTGGCTCAGCACCCGGTGGAGCTGTGCAGGGCTCAGCGCCGGGAACTCGGCTCGCAGGGACGGCCAGGTCATCTGAGCGAGGAGACAGAGCGTGGGGGGAGTGACAGGGGTGAGGAGCTGCTTCCTCCCGGGAGCAGGGACTCATGAGGGGCAAAGGAGGGAAAGGTCAGGGAATATGCAATGAGTCTGAGCATCCCCTCCATGCCCACCCACAGACCCACCACCCCGGGAAAGGGCAGCTGGAGGCAGGTTGCAAAAGGGACACATCAGTGTAGGGACACCCCCAAATGCCAAGTGGGGTCTCTCCTGCCCGTGCCTATCCCAATGCCAGGAGCCACGGGCTGGGCATCCCTCACCTGCACCAGCTGGGAGCCAGGCATGGCCAGCAGGTTGGCCACACTGGCGAGTTTGGCGAAGAACTGCTGGGCGAGCTGCTCAAAGCCAGCGCCGCGCAGCCAGTCCAGGAGCAGCCGCACACTCGCCCGCAGCTTCACCCCCTGAGACCAGTGGAAGCAGCTGAGAGAGGAGCCTGGGGAGGCAAAGCATCCATCAGCACACATCAGGGAACAACCCCTCAGTCCCCCCAGCCCCTGCCCAAAGTTAAGGTACCCAGCATCCCATAGCTATGATTCCTGGTGGTGGCTGGACCTCACCTGGCACTAACAGTGGGGCAGCTGTGTTAATGAGGGCTAATTAGCACCTCAGGCTGCAGCAGTTTATTAATGAGCTGCCCCTCTGAAGTGCTCTCAGCCTCCTCTGCTCAGGCTGAAAAGGGCAGGGCTCTGGCAAGGGTTGAGGATGGGGTTCAGCCTCTCCTGGGAATGGGGACCCTGGAGCCAGCAGCTGGGGCTCTGCTTGGCCTCCCCAAAACTGCTGAGACTTGCCCATCTCCAGACCCTTCCTTCCTGTACCCCCCGAGGCGGCACTGGGATGCACTGGAGGGCGTCCCACAAGGCCAGTCTCCTACGTGTTTCCCAGTTTAAGGAGGACTGACCCTTATCCAGGAGCTGGTTGAAGAGCAGGGTGTTGGAGAAGAAGAAGAGGTAGGCAAACATCTGGGAGGTGATCTCTGGGTGCACTTCATACTGGTGGAGCAGGTCCAGCACCGCCTGGTAGATGAGCACGACCCTGCGGAGCTCCTCGGGCAGCGGCGGGGCCGCCCTCCAGCTCTCCCGGCACTCACTCTGGAAGGGGTTGCACTCCAGCAGGGCAGGGAGCGACACATACAGACACTGCAGGGAGAGCAGCAAGTTCACAGCAGACTCATTTTGCTTGGTTTTTCTGTTTTTGCAAGAGACAAACATTTCTGACCCCCTCACCTCCGCCAGCCAAGCAAACCCTGCTGGTGCTGCCCCAACAAGGGGCTGCTCCTGCTCACCCCCTGCCCCCATGTGCTCCTGTGTTGTGCAGAAGTTTAAAATTTATAAAAATTTACATTGTTAAAATTAACATTATAAAAATTAACATGTTGGTTGCTTTTAGCAGTTGGAGGTGGTGGTGTGTGACAGCTCAGCTGAAAGGATCTGAAATCCGATGTGAACCAGGGCAGAGGCCGATCAGTCGGACACGAGGGTGACAGGAAAACCAGGATCAATGGGGATGATCCTCCCCTATTGCTTAAATGGGAGAGCAGTGCCTAGCACCCATCTCTGCCGGGGCTAAGGGAAGAGGAGCTTGCAGGAGAGGAAGGTGCCCCTCTGGAATGCTGCAGGAGAAGTCCCTGCATCCCCTCGCGCCGACGCCAGAGGACAGGCAGCCGTCCCGCACAGGGCAGCCTTTCTGCTGCCTCACACTGCCCGCTCTGTTCCCTGCTCCCGATGCCGCCCAGCTCTCGCGGTCCATCGGCGACGGTCCAGGGGCCCCTTTCCATCACGCCCTGAATCACACCATTATGCCGCGCTGGCCGGAGCCAAGCAGCTCTCCCCAAACACCTCCCCCGAGCCTGCACTGCAGGCAAGGAAAACACGCCGCAGTAATTCAATACTTTTCCTGGGCTGTGACCAAAAATCGGGGCACTTCAGCCCGAAGGAAAACACCTCAGAGTGATGCAACTGCCAAGGAGTAAAAGCTTGAAAAAAACCAAAACTCCTGTGCAGCCCGAGAGCTGCTGGGGATGCTCATGCTGGCCCCGTGTGACACTGCTGCCTGCCTGTGGGAGCATGTAGTACCTTGGAGATGTAGTAGACACACTGCTGGAAGGTGTACATGATCACCTCCTCCAGCACTGTCATCGCCTCCTCGCTGGCTGTGATGGTCGAGGAGAACAGAGACTCCTTGGAGCCTGTGGGGCAGAGAGGAGGATGGGGGAGCCAACCTGCAGCAGCAAGGTGCCCAAATTCCCAGGGTGGGGATTATTAGCGTTTTCAGGCTTGCACCACCACGGCATCACCTGACAGGGGCAAAGAGGCTCCTCTGGCCCCAGAGAGCACCCCCCTGCCATCCCCTGGGGCTCCCATCACTGCTGCAGCTCAGGGCTGCACTGTCTCTCCAGCACCTGCCTGGCCTACGAACACCTTAATTTGCTGCATCAACCAGAAAGGCTCTGAGGCTGATTTAATACCTTTTTCTTTGTTTTCCTTTCTCTTTTTTCTTTTGCTTGAATTAACACAGGCTCATCGGTGAGCAATTCTGAAGGGGCTGCCTGCAAATCCAGGTGCCCCCAATGGCAGCGGGAGCAGGGAGGAAGAAAGCCCCACCGAGGCACTAACCGCAGGCTGCTGAGGTGGAAAGGGGCTGCTCGGCTGTGGACACAACATAACCTGGAGCCGGGCAACACCGCGGCACCACACAGGCTCCTCCCACAGATTTCCCCAGCCCACACCGCGAGATGTCCCTGCTGATGAGGATTACGGGGGTTAACGGAGCATCTCGGGGGCACTGACCGCCGCCTGTGACTGGGGATTAGCAGGACAGAGCCCTTCCAGCCAGAAAAACAGGCAGGGTGTTGCATCCAGCCTCACCTCTGATGTCCAGCTCCTCCTCCATGCTCTGGATGTAGGTGGGTGATTTCTGCTGGACGAAGTATAGGATCTCGATGGCGTTGGCCATCCAGAAGATGATGTGCTGCAGGTCTGGGAGAAGGTCCGTGATGGTGAAGCGGGACAGGGAGGCAGGGTCCTGGCTGGGGAGACACAGAAGGTGTTACAGCTGCTGCTCCTCAGCATCCCCACTCAGACTTTTGGGAAGAAAACAGCCAGCCTGGGGCAACATCAGAGAACCTGGCATCTTCTCACCCCCAAGTCCAGCACTCCCCTTAGGAAGACCCCTCACAAGCAAAAATCTGGTGGTTCCTGCTCTGTGGAATGGCAAAGAGGACCCTGAAGGGACTGGGCTGGCCAAGGCCATCTTGCCTTTGTGGGGTGCTACTTTTGGGGGAGACTCCCCATAATACAACTGAACTGCAGTAAATACCCAAGGCTGAAGAGCAGCTCTCCCCAGGGGTATGTGCTGCCCCTGCCAGCTCTGGACGGTTAAACCCAGCTCACCCGCCCTGGGCTGTTCAAAAATAAAACAAAATAAACAAAAAGCATCTGGGAAGTTTCCCAATTGCTGAACTGCTTTTTCCTGCTATAGGAAAGGCCTGAGAAGCATCCTTGGAGTTTGTCCTAAAGAAGAGCTCAGAGAAAGCCTCAACACTTTCTCCAGATGCTGGTTTAGAGCCAGGATTTTGGAAATGGCTGGGAAGCCAGCTCATTGCACCGCTGTGATTGCCCCAGAGTGGTGTTCCCAACACTGTGACACCTTGTGCCACCATCCCAGGATGCACAAACACAATGCCAGCTCCACCAAGGGGTCTTCAGCATGAAGGGGGTGAGGCCCCCCATCAGGACCGTCCCTATTACATCCCTCAGGGATGCTGAAGCCACAAGTGCAAAGCCTTGGCCAGGTCTTGCATCAGAGAAAACCCCAGAGCTGCTGCAGGCCCTATTCCCTCCAGAGCTCGCCTGCTTTTCCAGACCCACGCGTTCCTTGCAGGCATCATAGTGAAAGGGCCGGAGAGCACAAAGCATCAGGTTTTAGTAGGAAAATTCATCATGCATCACTGCCACCAGGCTGGGAGGGTGGTTTTCCAGCCATGGATTCCCCTCACTCATGGAGGTAAAACTGGATTGAATTCTTCCCATTTTGTGTCAAAACAAGGAAGGTCACACTTACTGCTGGGACTGCTTTTCAGCCAGCTCCCGTGTCCGCTCCTGGGCAGGGAGAGAAGGGGAAATCAAAATGAGAACCAGTGTGATGGGATGGCACGAGCGTCACCCCCAGCAGCACTCACTGCCACCAGGGACCAGGCTGGAAAGCCCCTAGGAAGGGGGTCCAGCTACACCCCCACCCCACCAACACCCCATCCCACCGCTGACTGACCCACACTGTCCTCTGGATCATTTTGGCTGCTTTGAGCAGCAGCTGCCCGAAGTCTCCTGGCTCAAAGTTGGTGGCCGAGTGCTGGATGCAGAGGCAGAGCAGGAAGGCGGGTGTCAGCTTGTGGTCGTCCCCACCGGGCTCGATCAGGGTCATGATGCGCCGCAGGAGCACGTCCTCGGCCGCCGGCTCGAACTCCAGCTGCATCTTCCTGCGGGGCGTCCTGGGGCCCCCGGCGGGCGAGGGGGCCCGCTTTTTGGCAGCAGGGTCCTTCTCCTTCAGCAGGCTGCCACACGCCCCGCAGACGGGGCGGCCCTCGAGGGGCGGCGGGGTTGCAAGGGCTCGCAGCCTCAGGCAGCGTCTGCGCCGGCAGCGGCTGCGCCTTCATGGGGTCCTTGTAGAGGAGCAGGTAGTAGAGGCCGAGGGACAGGAGGTCCCCGTGCCGCAGCACCACCGTCCGGGCCACCTCGGCGAAGTTAACGGAGATGCCGGCGCCGGCGATGGGCTCCAGCACCAGCTTCTCCTCCGAGCGGTGCCGGGAAGGTCGGAGCTTCCTGATGGTGCAGTGCAGGGGCAGGATGTCGGGGGCTGACAGGCTGATGCTGGGCTTGCTCGCCTGCGTCCTCTGGCCCACCGTGTGCTGCTCGCGGTTCAGCAGGTAAACCAGGCTGTCCTGCCAAGCAGGGAGACGCAGCATGAACCGGGGAGAGGGGAGAAGGGACCCTCCTCCCTGCCATGCTGTGGGTGCTGCAGCCTCCTGCTGTCCCCGGCTGTCCCCCCACTGTCCCCAGCCATCCCTGCATGCTGCACCTTTGCATGGCAAAAAGACCTTTATTCTTCTCGCTGCCAAGCAGGACAGCAGCAACCCTGCTTTGGGCACGCTAACAAATGACATTGGCCATGCAGTAAATGGGGCTGCTTTGGGCAGAAGAAGCCCTCTCTCCCCCCCACACCCCTTCCTGCAGCTGCTTTTACTTCCCACCTTCTCCCCCCAGGACTGCAGCAATGTCTGCATCCCCCTGCCCAGGGGGGACACGGTGGGACCCCAGTCACAGCAGCCACTCCCAGCCCTGCCTTCCCCCTCTCCAGCCTGCCCGCACACCCCGAGGCAGCTCAGTAACCACCCCAGTGCCTCAGTTTCCCCAGCTGCACTAACGGGATGGCTACAGTGCCGCTGTCACCCTGATGGAAAGCTTGGAACACAGGGATACTCAACGGCACAAAGTAGCCATTAACTACAGAGCAGTCCCAGTCCTTTCCAGTTCTCCAAGTGCCTCCAGCACTGGGGAGCAGGGGCTCCCAGACGCACCGTCTCCTTGCTGCCTCTGATTCCATTTGCCACCAAGGAAGCAGCCGGACAGGGGACGGGGCAGCTCAGCCATCCCCCGCAGAACCGGCGCTCCCTTGTGCCGGGGCAGGGATGCTGCTCTGGGGGTTGCCCTGCATCCCCCTGGGGCATTGCTGGGGGGTCACAGGTGCCGGCTCTATGTCCCCCATGCTTGAGGATAGGTTGGGGACAGACTTGGGGGACAAGGCTGCAAGTCCCAAGCCCGTTTTCTAAAGGATGCTCACCCGCGCCACCACCACCTCCCGCCCTCGACCCCAGCAGCTCCGGCCATGCAAGCAGCCCCGCTGCCCGGGGGGCTTTGGGGGGTGAGAGAAAAGCGGGGGTGGGGGGTGCCGGGGGTGCGCAGGAGGCGGCGCGGGTGCTTCCATGCCTGCTGGCTGTAGCCCTGCAGGAGCAGGAGGTGCGGGGAACTGTAGAGGGAGTACCGCATGGCTGCCCGCCGCTCCGCGCCGGGCCGCCGGGCTGCCGGGCAGGGTGGAGCAGTGCCGCTGGAGCCGGGCCCCGGCCCCGCCCCGGCCCCGGCCCCGCCCGCCTCAACGCGGGGTCCCCAGGCTGGTCTCGCTGAGGCTGCGCCGCAGGGTCGGGGGGGGCCCGCGCCGAAATCAGCCGCTCGCCCGCCGCCCGCGGCCCCCCGAGCCCGGTGGCCGCTGCAGGCTCCGCGGCTTGGGCGTTTTGATGCCTGCGGGGATGGGGGGGGAGACAGAGCGGCGTTCAGCCCCCGCAGCCTCCCCAGGACCCCCCCACACACACACCGCTGCAGCACCCCGCGGCTGGAGGGATGCTGCACCTCCGAGAGGGGATGGAGCAGATGAAACCCACCCCTCCCGGCTCCGCGCACCCACCCTGGGCTGGTGTCCCCTGGTCCCTTGCCCTTCCCGAAAGGTGACACCAGGACACCAGCGCGAAGAGTTTTGTTGCCCCAATGCCACTGCCAAAAAAGAGGTGTCCTAGCCCTCCCTGGCCCCAAAACCCACTGATGGAGAAGGGGAAACTCCATAGCATCCCCCACCTGCTCTGGCCACCCTGCTGGGTTGAGGGGAGAGGAAATCTCTGCTAAAAAGACATTTCAGTCTATCTTTGCTAAAAAGAAAAAAAGGGCCTGGATGCTGCTTCCAGGCCATCAGTACTCGATGGCTAGCAGCAAGCAGGAGCAGCAGAGACACCCCCCCCAATCCCTCTGAGCATCAGCCAGGCATGGGAGCTGCAGTGGAGCCCAGCTGCAGCAGGAGCAAGCTGTAATTAACTTCTCTGAAGCATCAATTTGAGCAGAGCTGTCCGCAAGACAAACAGGAGCCGGAGTGAATGAATAGGCCTGGCTGAGCTGCCAAAGCAGCCCCTCATACGGCATCCCCAGCCCCAAGGGGGGGTCCCCGTGGGACCCCCGGTGCTGCAAGCATGGCTTGAGCTCTGCAGGAGAAAAAAGAAGTTGTTGTATCCGAAGGGTGGCTCATACCTCAGATGGGCAGTCTCCTGGGAGCAGGTCACTGGCATTCGGGGAGGACGAAGAGAGGCAAAAAAAACCTAAAGGATTTGCTTGCAGGAGCAGCAGTGCAGTGGTGTCAGTGCAGCACAGAGCCAGAGCCACTCAGGGCTCGGCCGACCAGGGAGCAGGCTTGGGCCAGCAAGATTTGGGGACAGCGGCCGGGATTTGGGGACGGCAGAGCAGAGAGCCTGGTGCCCAGGGCTGCTTAAAGGGACACTCACAAGCTCAGACCCAAAAAAAAAAATGCAATCTGCCTTATTTGGTGAGGAATGGGCTGCCAGTTCTGAAATACATTTTTTTGTTTGTTTGTTTTAAATGGAGCGCTCCTTTGCTGGGAAAATCAAAGAGTTGGGGATGGGGAGGGGTGGTGGGAGAGGGAGAAAATAGCCCCTGCTGTTTACATGCCTTGGGATTAGGGCAAGGCACAGTCAAGCCACCCCAAGCAGTCTCGTGCCCGTGTCCTTCTTAAAAAGGCACGCTCCCATCCCATCATGGCCAGCGGCACGGGACGCCTGCATCCCATGGATGCAAAATCCAGGGAGCACAACAAGCCTGCCCAAGCCATACCACTGGGGATGCCAAAGGCCACCCCAAACGTGTCTGCAGGACACCTTGGCTCCACCCAGGAGCACCATTCCCAACCCACAGGATGGAAATGGGCCAAAGGGATGAAGGATGGCTGAGGCAATGCAGATCCCAGACCCGTGGGAGCAGTGAGGAGTGGGGCCAGATCCTGGGGAGCAGCTATTGCTGGAGCTCATTGGGATGGAGCGGGGGTTGCCAGCACTGGGATCCCACTGCCTGCAGAGACATGCCATCACCAGTCCCTTATCGAGGGGAAAGGAAGCTTCTGTATTTGTGTAGGAAAAAGCTGATTTTTCACTGCCGACAGAGCCCCCGTCACAGGCTCCTGCTAACCCCGGAGCTGTGCTGGAAAGATAAACACAGCTCTTTTCCTGAGCATAACAAAGTCCCTCCATAAACTGGGTTAGGTTTTTTTAATCCTTTGGTACTGTTTTGTCCTCCCAGGCATGTGCAGGTTGTCCTGCCCAGAACTCTGCCTGAGCATCCCCATCCCCAACGCAGTGCAGCCACGGCAGAGCCAGCAGCTGCTGAATCCACATGGAGATTCGGATGGGAACAGGGTGTAAGGAGTTAAAGAGCACAGTTGCCTGTCTCAAACACTGTTAAGACCACAGAAGGAAGTTGCCATAAGTAATGCACCTGGACAAAAATGCTCACTGTGGCAAGCTACGTGAAAAGAAGCAAGTGCTCATGTGCTCATCACGGGTCAAACAAAAATCACTCCAAGTCATGGGGCATCTACAACCACCAATGACCACCCAAGCCCCCTGAATATACCTCCCTGGATACCCAGAACTTGGACTGTATAAAGGTGGTACTGTTGTCCGAGTGTCAGGCCTTGCTAAAGTTTAGGGCTTGGCATGCTTCAATGATCTCAGACCTAGGGGGAGGTTAACAAAGCTTGGGAAAAAGGATGTACCACTGATAGTGGGCACAAAGAATGCAGAATTCACAGGCCATAAGGACATTTGGCAGAACTCCCAAGATAAAGAAGAAACTAATAGAACCAACTCAGCAACTGTGCTGAATCAGCTCCGACTGGGTAAAAGGTAATTCCGACAGAGGGAGATCGTGACCATCAACTCACAGCCAGCAACCCAAGAAACCCACCAACTCAGAGCAAGAGAAAGCTTTCCCCTCTTTTCTGTTTCTTTCTATCTCTCTACCTTATATTCAGTGCTATGAGGGACTTTGGCAGAGGCATCTCTCACTAATCAGACCATATAACACAGGGCTGGATCACACCCTTAGGGAGAGCTGGGCACCCCAGGCAGGGGCAGCATCCACCAGACCCCACCAAGCTGCTCCCTCTAAGCCTGTCCTGCATCCCAGGGGAAAAACTGCCGGTTGTGGTGCCTGGGATCTTGGCTGGGATCTGCCTCTTTTTCAGCCTAGGGAAGAGGTTCACTTTTCCTAGCTGAGAAATAAATCAACAAATAACTCCGTGGGCCCCAGGAAAGAAGAAAATGCTTTGAATTTACCCAGGAGGGGCTAAGACCAGGCTAGTCCTTCCTAATGTAATTGCTCTGCAGACTCTGCAGGGATTCCTCCCTGGACGCAGTCTTGCTAAGGTATATCAAAGCCATATCCTCAAAGGCACTTGCCAGAGCATCTTTTAGTATAATAGGCTTAACTCCCAAGTTTCTGGAGGTGTGTGTGCAGTTCAGCCTCCAGCCTCTCAGGGAAGCCTCAGCCACTAGGACATGGTGCAAAATGGGGCTGTTTTGGAAGACAAATGCCACCAAGATGCCAAGTGCTGCACCTCCCTCCCAGCAGCCCCAGTTTGTGGGTGTCTTCCGCAGATTCTCCATAACTGCTGCCTCATCACTCCCAAAAGAAGCAGGACCAGGGGCAGCAGTGAGAAAGGGGTCTGCCTCGTTTGCTGCAGAGATGCTCTACCTGCTGCTAATTAGTGGCCTGAGGAGCCAGCACCGTCCTCCCCAGTGGGAAGCAGCTAATAAACTAATTAGGATAATGGGTAACTGAGCAGATAAAACTCTTAAGCTATTTGCTAACAGGTCACGGATGGATGTGGAGCCTTTCCCCCAGCCAGCAGCTCAGCAGGCAGCAATGTACCTGTGTGACCCCAGTGTTCCCAGCCACCCTGGTCCTGCTGCTCCAGTGATGCCCTGTGTGGGGAAGGGCCTACAGGTATTGCTCTGGGGATCCCACTTTGAGCTTTTCTCCTAGGGAGCTGAAAGCCTAAAGTCCCTTTGTTTTTGCACAGATGTTGTGTTTTCCACACCAGTGCCTCACCACCCCGGGTGGGCAGCTGCTGCTTGGCAAGGGGACCTCTGCCAGCTTGAGGCTGGTGGGAAGGGTGACCCTGGTGGAGGGCACTCCTGGTCAGTTCCCATTACACCAGAAGTTTTGAGGCTTTTTGGGGTGCTGGATCACATGCTGCATCACACCCTCTAATCCCTGGCAGCTTGTGGTTGGGTGGGAAAGTGTGGCCCCAGCCCCACAGTATCCCTTTAGGCTGTGCCACCAGAATGGGGTGAGACTGGTGACAGAGCCCCTGTTGCCCCCAGAAGGAAGGGCTGCAGGAGTGAGATTTTAACAGGTAAGACAAATGCAGGCTGTGTAGTCTGCAGGGCAGACAGCCTGAACGACCGTGGGTGTAGGCTTTCTGCCTCAGAAGAGCTTGGTCAGCTATGGAAAATGCCCAAAGGTTAAAAAATGGAGAGTTTCCACCGCCCCACCCAGAAGTGCTGAAACAAATGAAGTGATAACGAAAGCATAACGGGCTTATTTCCAGATCCAGAGCACGCAATGCCATCAGGAACTGCTCCTCCATCGGAAATCACCGAAGGGTGCCAATCCCAGGCCAGCTCAAGCTGCTTGTGCTGGGCAGCCCAGAGCCTGCTGCTTCCCCTGCCTGTGTGGGAGCCTTACCCTCCCCAGGGCTGCCAGCCCACCCAGATCCAGGTCACGGGCGGGAACGTTGCTTTCTGTATCCGAGGGGGAGTGATGTGACCTTGGGCTCAGGCAGGGAGCTGCCACGTGGCCCTCCCAACTGTGTGCTATAACCATGGTACTTGGCTCTTGCCCTCTCCTCTCTTCAACAGAAGCTGTTTTTAGAGTCGCTGCTCTCCAAAAGTGTTTTAGTTCTCTCTGATCCTGCCTGGAGAAAAAGCTGAAGAGCAGAGCAAAGCATCCAGCTCCCTGGCCCAGGTGCCAGCAGCAGCTGCCTCTTTCTCTCTGTGTCCCACACGCGATGAGCTGGGACCACTCCTGTGCATCCCCTCCCTGAGCAGACCCAGAAACTGGACACGTGGGGCTGGAGGGTGCCCCATCTCCCCATCAGATGCCAGGTGAAATCAGAATTGAAAATTGCAGTTAGGGAGGCTCCAGCTGCCCCTGCTCTCCCCTGGAATGCCCGTGGCTGGATTCCTTCACCTGTGTGCCTGGGCTCCTTCCAGCCTTTGTTAGGATGGGTGGGAGAGGAGCTGTGTCCCTGCTGGTGTGGGACAGGTCAGGCCATTTTTTCTGCTGCTCTGGGAGGAGAACCTTGGCTGTTGTTTGCCAAGCACCCAGGGGAATCCTGCACCATCCTCAGCTTATTTCTGACAGTAACAACCCTTTCCTACAGTCGTGAGGAACCACTCAGAGCCCATCCCAGCAAAACCCCCTGGCTGACACCTCCAGAACCTGGTCCAGACACCTCTGCCAGCAGGCCCAGCGCAGCAAGAGCATCACGCAAGTAAAAATCTGATTTTAAACCTTTCTACCCTCATCCTCCTGGGGCTTTTATCTTAGGGTGGGAGGAGGAAAACTTCATTACTCTGTGCTGGGGTCACTTATTAACCTGCTGGTTCCTAATGATGTACTTATCTGCTCCTGCCAGCCCTGGGCTCCATCAGGCACTGCCACAGGGACTCTCCTGCCCTACATTGCTCTCTCTTCATTAGCTTTTCATTTTCCTTAATTGCTCCTGCAGATTTGCCTGGGGTGTCTGGCCTGGGGGATGCCCATGGGGAGATGGGGGTGCAGGGGAGCAGGGCAGTGCTCTGCCAGGCACGAAGCTGGGGATGCCATGGTCCTGGTTCAGTGATGGGAAGAGCAGGAAGCACTGACAGTCTTGCCTGCTGCTCCCCAGCCATGAGCAGGAGTTTGGTTAACCCCTAGACTGGCTGGGGTAAATATTTGAGGTAAATCAATTTGATACCAAATTTATGCAGGAGTACTGAGTAGTGACCATGGATTAACTCAGGAGCCTTGCAGGTAAAATGTGGCCACTCTCCCACTTGCACCACCCCCTGAACCCAAACCACGTGTGAAAGCTGCTGATGTGGGGGGTGCATCTCCCACAGACAGATCAGGGGGGGTGGCAGCTCCCTCCCCCTGCCCCACACCCAGCTCTGACCTGCAGTGGTGGTGTCCACGTCCTTGGCCGCCAGCTCCTCCACCTCCGCCCTCCTGCGCAGCTCCAGCCGCCGCGAGAAGCCCTCCCTGGGCTTCCAGAGGTCCTGGATGAGCAGCGGCTTCTCGTGGTCCCCCAGGACCCTCAGCCCCTCCGTCTGCCACTGCTTCTCGGGGCCCTCGAACCTGCCGATGACGTCGCACAGGGCGTACTGCGCGGCGCTGAGCTGGCTCAGCCCGTAGCGCTCCAGGGCCTCCTTCACCAGCTCCCGCGCGCCCGAGCTGCCCGTCACCAGCACGCTCTTGTAGTTGGTGCCCGCACAGATGTTGCCCCCGAAGATTTTCAGGATGCCAGGGGCTGAGAGCTGGGTGGAGAGCTCGGCAGGGTCATCCTCACCGGCGGCTGGGGAGGCGGAGGCCGAGCTCCGGTCCTTGTAGCTCAGTGTCCGGTACAGGACTTGGGAGAAGAGCCGGCTCTGGCGCTTCAGCCGGTTCTTGGATGGTGGAGCCATGGTGGAGGAGGGCCCATAGAACATCGTGCGTGAAGCCGTCATGAAGCACAGCTGGGCAGGGAAGAGCAGAAAGGGGAAGGTCAGTGGTTTGGAGGCCAGATGTGCAGCGGGGAGGAGCGAGCAGGAACCAGCTGGAGGAGCAGCTGTCACCTCCAAGGTGGAAAGAGACAGATCAAGGGAGGGCCATTTCCCTTGTGTAACCCAAAACACCAGTGGAAAAGCTAAGCCAGGCTCCTTGGAACCAGCACAGTTGCCCCTGGATGGATTTGTCCCTGAAAACATAGCCTGGAGTGGCCCCATATTTCTCCACTGTGTGTATTAAGAGGTCCCTGTTATCCAGGTGAAATGCAGCGGGAGGAGAGCAGAGCCCAGTAGAACTTGGCAGAGCCCATCCTGGTCAAGATCCAATGCATCAGGAGTTACTTTCACTAACGAGTTTATGGAGCAATCCCATTTTTTTAGAGGTGAAACGGAAAGCTCAAGTGCAAATTCACTCACTCTGAGGTCACCGCTAAATGCTTTTGCTCAGTGAGAGGCGCAGGGTGAAAATGGGCTTTAATAAGCCTTTCTAAAAATGTCCTGACTCCGGCAAATCTCTTGGCTGTTGCTGGTTTGCGGAGGACATTCAAGCACGGGGTGCATTGCTGACAAGGCTGCCCTTGCCACATTAGCAGGGGCAGGGCTGCTCAGGGCAGCCCCGGGCACGCAGTGACCAGAGGAGTCATGGCCAAGGCCATATGATGGCTCCCAGTGCTCCTCAACCCCCAGGAATGGACTGGGAACCACGATATTCTTCTGGCTTTAGGTGGATAGTGGTCCTGCCCAGTGTCACTGCCAACATCTGGGAATGGCTTTGAAATCGCATCCCGGATGCGCCAGCACCTGGCACTTGCACGGAGCTGATAACCCACAGCTGCACTGTGACCCGCTGGCAGGGACGGTCTGGAAAGACAATCTGAGCATTCCTGATTCAGAAAGGACTGGGAATTCCCTCACCTCCAGATTTATAACATGGAGCATATGCAGAGGAGCCCCAAATGTCCCATCCACAGCTATCAGAGTGCTGGGATGCAGCAGCTGGCAGGATCCAGCTGTGCATGGCCAGGAGGACACGGGGTGCCGGCAGCTTTCCACAGCTGCAGCCCCGTCTCGCCCGGGCACAATCTTGCCTCCGAGCAAACTCAGCGCTATCAGGCAGAATGATGTCGGCCCTGGAAAGCCTCCAAACCACCATCCAATTCAGGAAAAAAGAGCGTCCCTGCTGCTAATGGAAGAGGTCACCTTCTAACCCAGAAACCACCTCCCAGCCACGCATGGAAGGCTTCTGCAGGATGTGCATGCCCCCATCCCAGGACCAGAGGCCCCGTTGAATGCTGCATATGGGGAAACTGAGGCACCAAGTGCTAAGGATGTGCCTGGGAGCTGTGTGATCCTGTGATACAGCTGCACCCCGAGTCACTCCCAGCCCCACCAGGACTGTAAAAATGCTGGGTTCTGTCCTTCTTCCCAACCTGCTGTCTCCAAAACCAACTGTCAGGGTGCTGCAGGGCAGGGAGGGGAGCTGGCAGCTGCTCCAGCCCTGGCACGTCACTGCTGCCTGAAATTAGGCTCAGCAATCAGCCTGGACAGCAGGGCTCAGTGTTTTGGTTTTTATACCTCCCCAGCCGAGCACTGGCTCCAGAGCTTCATCACAACTCGCTGGGTTCAGGTAAGGCTGTTCCTGCTCCCACCTTGCAAGTGGGGAAACTGAGGCAGGGATGAGATTAGGGCTGCTCCTCCTCCTCCAGCTGAGCCCAGAGGTGCTGCTCCCGCTGGGGACATCCCTGGGGACATCCCTTGATGTCTGCTGTGTGTCACCTCCTGGGAATGCAGGGGCAGACCCGACCTGGGGAGCAGGTCAGGGCACTGGCAGACAGTCAGGTTCAAGAACAGCTGCCCCAGGCTGTTAGCACAGCCACACCAGCCCTCATTACCATTGACCAGAAGGAAAAGTGCCCCAGTGTCCCTTGTTATCAAGGATGCAAAAGACAAAACTTTGTCATCAAATTACCAGTTTCAGCTCATGCATTTAATCTCCTCCACCCTGAAATACCTCCAGCAGAAAAGGAAACCTTTTAATATCTGCTGTTGGCAAAATCATTCCTCCAAGCTCTCATCACAGACAGAGACACCATCCTCACTGCTTGCAGGTCCCTGCCTGGTTTTGAATGTGTTATTTATAGCTCAGCTATTTTCCTGCTCTTTCTATCAAACAGAGCTCCTACAGAGTTCAGGGGCAAAGACGTTTCACTGGGAAAAAATAAGCAGCCTGGATCAGGCGAAGTTTTTCAGCATCTGGAGCAACACTGGTGTGATTTCACCAGGCTGGTCACATGAGAAATTGCAGCCTTCTCCCGAAGACAGCAGAATACACGAATACACGGTCTTAATCCCCCTGAGGACTCTAATGGACGTGATAAGACGATAATGAAATGGGCTCCTCCCACATCCGTGTGCTCAGTTACACTGGGCACCAGCGTCTCCCAGGAGGATGGAATCTGTAGTACTTGCAATCCTGCTGGGTCCTGCTGTGGGAGCAGGGATGCTCCAGCTGGACCCAGGTGCCTGGGGACAAGCCAGCAGGAGCGTCAAGTGTTGGGCACACCTTCCTGCAGGTCAGTGGGACATGTGCTCCTGGGCATCCCCAGCCCAGACAAGCCCCCTCCTCGCTGCAGGGAGCCCAGTTTCCCGGCTCTGTCACTGGAGGACACGTGCCTGCAGCCACGGAGCATGATCCAGACTTTTCAAAGAGCCCCTTTCTCCAGCCTTCAGTGACATTGTCCCTGCTAAGGACTACACAGGAATTAGTCAAAAGCCTGTGACTGCCTCCCAGCGGGATTTGTATCAGGGACCCTTCACCTCTTCACGGCCGTGCCTGACCACACCAAAACCAATTATTTCCCACAGCCAGCTCTGCCTGTACGTGCTCTGCAGAGCTGTGACAAACGCTTTCAGTATTCACATGGCCACCACGTGTCCTTCCATCACCACAACTGACTCTGCAACCGCCGGGGGCTTTCCTGCAGGCTCTGAGGTTCCTGCTGCCACAGCGGGTGAGCAGCTCCTTCCCTGTGCTCCCACCCAGTGCCCAGGTAAAGACTCCCCTTACCTTGCCATCCTTCTCACGTGCCTTTTTGCCTTCCATTCATACTCCTTCTCAAAACAACCTTTCCTGCTCGTTGTGCATCGTCCTGGGCAGGCGTCTGTCGTGTTTCTGCAAGAGGAAGAGGAGGAGCGGTCCTGGGGCTGCTCACAGACATGAGCTGTTCACAGTGTGGCGGGTTTGCAGGGCTCAGGGGTTCTGCAGGTACGCTTCCAATGTGCATCATGTTTGCACATGTTCATCCCACCACAGCCCAGAGATGGGGAAGACCAGCCCAGGCCTAAGCTCAGGCTCCATCACAGCAGGAACTCAGAAGCCTTGGGAGCTGAGACAGAGCAAACCCAGCTATGGTGATGCCCACCAACAGCATCTTGCCCATTGCAGACAGCCAGGAAGAGAACAGCTGTATGAAAAGAAATGCTATGCCAAAGGAGAAGAGGATGAGATGGGACCAACAACAGCCCCGTGACGTTTATTTCCCTCTCCCAAGCACATGTGTCCCCAGGGACGCCAGGCTGGGTGACCTCTCTGACCCTTGGGTAGACAAGTCCTGGACCATCTCCTTCCCCCAGCAGCCAGAGCATGCTGGGATGCTCACCAAGATTTGGTTTCCTGAATGTCACTCTGTGTTGCTGGACATCAAGGAGAGACAAGCACCGTCCCCTCGCCCTCCCACCACAGATCTGTGAGATCAAGACCACTGGTAACCAAGAGAGAAAGAGAAAAGAAGCACCTGCAAAGTGCCTGCAATGATTTCCTGGGTGTTCCTCAGAAAGAGCCGTCAGAGCACAAGTACTCTCTTGCACGGCTCCACCGTGATTAAAGATAAATGCATCATCTAATTAAATCACCTAATCAGGGCCTCAGCGTGGTTCAATCCATCTCCTCTTGCTGGCCCAGTGCTGGGGCTATGGGAGCAACTCTGTGCAAGGTGATGGGTCGTGATGTGAAAGGCAAAGAGATGCTGACCCCACCTCTGCTGTTCCACGCTGCTTCTGATGATTAATCGCTCCCGCTCGTTAAATATTTATGCCTTATTTCCAACGTGTCTGCCCTCAGCTGCCAGACATCGATTCTTGCCATGCTTTTCACTGCCCAATTAACAAGCTTTTGGTTACCATGTATTTTCTCCTCTGTGAGAATATTTAAATGTTTTTGTCAAGCTCCCCCTCACTCCTATTTAATTTGATTTATGAGTAGACTAACTGGATGGCCACCTCCTCTCTTGCTGTAATACATTTTCTGCAGCTTCTTGGTCCCTTCCCCTTGGATCCCACATCTCCCCTGCTGAGATGGAGAGTGGATTTGGCTGCCATAAGCCCAAATTTGGTTCCGACCAAAAATGCAAACTGCTATTTTTTTCCAGAGCAAAACTTGCCGTTACCCTGAAATTTTTCAGTTCTCCAGCACTGAAAGTGGGACAGACACACAGCCACCCCCCAGGCAGCTCCCTGGTGAGCCCGTGTGCTGCCTCTCCCAGCGTCTGCGAGCAGCTCCTGACGAAAATTTGTTGTCCAGATTAGGGACAGGAAAACACATACAACTCCAGTTATTATTTTTGGGTGTAAAAGGATTTCCATTTTCCATTCTGCTCCAGTCAGGATGCCTTTCACTCGCCCAGTTTACCATCTGGATTTGTAGACAGTATTAACACTCTGCTGCTCTGGGTCAGCCCCAGGTTTCTCCAGGAATCATTTCTCTCTCCTTTATTCCAGATTAGTGATAAAAACACTGAGTGCATGTTACCAGCTAGCAGTGCCCAGCAGTGATAATCTCCCTGATAACTGCCTTGGAAATGGATCACGTTTATTTAATACCGGCTTTCTTGACACTGTCTAATGTCAGCTCTAAATACTGGACTGGACTGACTTTTTTAATGCTGGAAAGTGCAGATTTTTACAAGAATATCACCTCCCATAATTCAAATGCTTCACAAAATTGTGTTACAGCCAGAGAGTCACCTCTCACATTGGAGACTGAAATCATTTCTACTTGCCAGGAGTTATTTTCCATACAGCCATGCTGGATGGCAGGAATTTATTCCTGGTGCTGAAGTCTTTAATCAATTAAAGCCCGAGCCAGGTTTCTCCCTGTGGGGATGCTATCAAGCCAATCAACCTGTAGCTACCAGGTCATCTTACTCCCTTTTGGGAAGAGCAGCAATGCTATTAAAACACTTTTTAATCTTCTGGAATTTCCCTGGGGCTCATCCCGGCGCAGCAGACGCAGCTCTGCACGGATGGGCGGTGAGATTTCGGCTACAACCATCCCAAAACGGCAACCAGAAAAGCTGTTTCCTCAGATCTCTCTTTGAAAATTTTCCCTTCTCTTCCCCCCCCCACCCCTTTCTTTTTTTTGGATGGAAACCACTGGAGTTGCAGCCTTGGTCTAGTGGCAACAACCGCAGCCTGGATGCTGCGAGCGGAGGGAGAGGCCGCCCCGGCACTGCAATGTGGAACAAATTAGACCTCGGAGAGCAAAGGAAATGAGAACACCCTGGATGCGGCGGCTTTGACGTGCACTCCTCGGCTCCAAATCCTGCCCTTCTGCAGATCCCATCCCCAGGGCAGAGCCCAAACCCCTCCGCTCTGAACCGGAGCTCCCGCTCCCTCCCATTTGGGATCAAGTCTCCGCTTCAGAGCCCGGCCTTTCCTTGTGAGAGCTTCATCCACCTAATCTAGGGACAGATCGGAGGCCAGTGATGTCCATGCCAGCCCTGGTGCCGTCTTTAGCCGGATCAGGGTGGGTAAACTCCTTACCATGTTATTATTAGCAGCAGGCACCCTGTGGTAGCACTCTGGACCCCGCGGCCCCGGGACTGCTCAAACAGGATACAAAGGCAGTCCCGGTCCTGCAAACATGAACAGTTTGTCCCAAAGGCAGCTATCGCTCTACAAACATTATAACAATTGGGGACCTGATTCTACAAGGACAACAGGAGACCTTTCAGCAGATTTTCTTTTCTCATATTTTTTTTTCCCCTATAATTATTTTGCAAGGTCTTTTGAGCCACCAACATGCACCAGCTCTCCAGTAATGTGCCAGCACAGATGCCAGCCCTCTGCCCAGGCAGCTCTATTCACACATATACATACATAAGAATCACTGCACAAAGAGCATTTGCTTTCTGCTGCCTCCCGAGCTGCAGAGTCTCTGTAGGCTGCCTAATTATAAGATCTTAGCAATAATTTTTTTTCCAGCGATAATTAACTGGTCCTGGAGAGAGCTGAAAATAAGCACTTCCCCAGCAAGCAGCAAACTCCCCTGAGTTTTCTCTGCTAAAGTTACAACTCAGCATGAAACTGCTCCAGCCTCCCGGGAACACAGACCATGCCAGCACCTCCCTGCCACGGTCTGGGACACCACGACAGTCACAGGCAGCCAAATACAGGTGAAATGGTGGGTGTGGAGTAGCAGTGGGATCCCAAGGGGTGTGCAGTGGGGAGAAGGATCCAAAGGAGTGTGGAAATGGGGAGAGAGATCCCAAGGAGTGTGCGAGGGGGAGAAGGATGCCATGGGGCATGGAATGGGGAGAGGATCTCAAGGGGTGTGCAAGGAAGAGAAGGATCCTAAGGGGTATGTACTGGGGAGAAGGATCTCGAGGATTTCACAATGGGGAGAAGGAACCCAAGGAGCATGGAATGGGTCAAGGATCCCAAGGGGTGTGTAAGGGGGAGAAGGATCCCAAGGGGTATGGAATGGGAAGAAGAATCCCAAGGGATGTGCAAGGGGGAGAAGGATCCCACGAGGCAAGCAGTGGGGGAAGGATCCCAAGGGATGTGCATGGAACACGGATCCCCAGGGGCAGGCAATGCGGGGAAGGCTCCCCGCGCTCCCGGCACAGCCCTCCCGGCGCGGTTCTCCGGGCAGCGGGGAAGCGCGGGTCTCCCACGGCAACCGGGACAAGCCTGAGCCGCCACCGCCGCGCTCCTCCCGACCGCCGCTGCCAGCGGGGGCGAGAAACAAACCCTCCTGCCCGGACCGGCGGGGGCGTCCGGGACGAACAGGGGGGATGCGGGGGCGGGTGGGTGTTTAAAAAAAAAAGGGGGGTCCCTTGGGCAGGGTCTGCCCTCGCCACCCCCGGTACTCACCGCGGAGCGGGGCAGCCTCGCGCGACCCGGCGGCGGCAGCGCCCGGAGCCGCCGGGGCTGCGCGGGGCGCTCGGATCGGCCCGTCCCGCCGGGGCGGAGCGACCCGCGCCGCGCGCGCCCCCGCGCGCCCCGCACCGGCACCGCGGGCGGCCGGGACGGGAAAGGGGGTCCTGACCCCTCTGCCCCGCCGGATGGATGGGACACCACTGACAGAAGGCAGGGTTAGATGGGATACTGGGAAGAAATTCTTCCCTGTGAGGGTCGTGTGGCTGCCCCATCCCTGGAAGTATTTCAGGTCAGGTTGGAAGTGGCTTTGATCAACTTGGTCTAGCGGAAGGTGTTCCTGCCCGTGGCAGGGGGTTGGAACAAAAAGAGCTTTAAGGTCTCTTCCAACCCAAGCCTTTCTAGGATTTTATGAAAATGCCAGGAGCAAGTCAGGCAGGGCTGCACTGGCAGCGGCGCCTCACCTGCACAGGCAGCTGCTGGCTTTGGCCAAACAGGTTTTATCAAACCAGCTCCAGAGTTGACCTGGAGACTGCTGAGGCTGCACACAGACTGGTGGCTGAAACCAGGAAGGGATGGATCATGACCACATAGGGAGTTGTTCAAGATGAGGTGATCACTGATGCTTTGCTTCCCTTGGTGAAAATGTCTCCTTTTGCTTAAAGAGGTGTTTCCATGTCCAGTGGTGCTGAGGTGCTTTGTGTGGGAAGGTGATTCTACCATCCAGACACCCTCTGGGAATGACAGCACAAAAGCACAGCAAAGCCAGGAGGCCTCCCAGTCCAGCCCAATCGCCAGCAGCAAAGAAATGATGGGCGAGGTGGAAGTTGTGGGTCAGGTTTTGGAGTGAGTTCAGCTGCCCCTGGAAGCAGGGAACCCTCCCTGGCTTTCTGGGAAAGCTGCTGAGCATCGCAGCCTGGGAGAGATTCAGCCCTGTGTAATTCTGACAGAGAAGTGCAAGCGAGAGGGCAGCTGGTGGGTGTGCAGAGCCCAGAGCAGGAGCACCATCTGCCCAACT